CCAGGCTGGGTGGTGGCAGCAGGTGGCATTGGCATGACATGGACCCGTCACCCTGTCCCCAAGCGGTGTCCTTAGGGGTGACCAACACAGCCCTGGCTGGAGCAAGGGAATGGTGTGAGGAGGAGGAGGATGGAGAGGAAGGTCTTGCTCTGCTCCAGCAAATTTGGGACAGCAAGTTGAACCAGGATGAGGACAAGCCACACGCCAGGCTGTTGTCCCCTCCCATGGCCCACCACAGCCCCCAAAACGCCAACATGGGGGTCCCTGGACTGCTCCCACTCTGTCACATCCATTCTCTACGTTACCCCAACGCCCACATAACGCCAAGCCAAAATTATGCATGATTATACAGAAAACAGCCACCTCTGCCGTAATTACCGGCCCAGGACGCCAAACACGGCTCCCACGACAGCTGCGGCATCTCAGGCAGCGTTACCTGTAATGACTTGTCCCGGTGCAAGAAGAGACCTCCAAAGAAATCCACCCTATGAGGCTGCGCAGGTGGAGGGATGGGGAGGGATGGATGCCCCGTGGCTGCACTGATCCCTCATTTCCAGCCCAAGACCCTAAAACTCAGCTTCAGTGCTACGGCCACAGTCACCAGGCATGGAAGGACATCACCCAGGCGCTTGCAGATAGCTGGAGAAGGAGCCAGCTGCCCCAAGCACGACCATCAGTGTGTCGGGTGCGTGCGACCACCTCTGCTTCCACCTCCGGCAGATCATCTCCAGGCAGAAGATGCCCTGGAACGGCTTCGATCTGGTGTAGATGGGCCACGGGTGAAGCCCCGGTGGGATGCAGAGTCAATGCCACAAGGTCCAGGGTCTTTCCTGCAAGACCAAGCTCTCGGCGATCAAGCACCAGCCAAGCTTCAAGGTATATACATATTTTATTTTAAAAAAAGTTTACAGTTCTTTAATTATACACAACTATTGGAGAGGTTATACTCTTAGAGAAGAGGCATTTTGTCAGGGTGGCAGATGTGCCCACTACATCAACAACGCAGGAAAAAAGAGGAGAAAAAAAAAAATCAAGAGCCGACTCAAAGAAAGGGTAAAACACCCCGATCTCGTCAAGTACCACACGGTCGGTACCAAACACAGGCAGTAAAATCATGGCCACTTCTCATGCCGCAAACACCCCTGCTAAAGTGCCAGCAGAACTTGGACGAGAAAAAAAGCAGCAAAAAAATAAGAGAGAAAATTGTCAAACACCTCTCAGCCTTCCCGATGGTCTGCGAGGAGGGTCCCTGCCGATGGACGACACCCGCCAGTGGGGACGGGAAGGGGAGCCCCGTCCCTCCGGCACGCGCTGAGGGATGGGTAGACACGTAAAGAAGAGAGAGATGGGTTGGGGTTCAACCACGGACACGGTGGAGGCAGGGGGACAGCGCCCTTTGCCATACCGGGCTGATGGCAAAGCTCTGCTCCAGCCTGTCCCCGTACCAGCATCCTTCTGCATCTGCCAAACCGACCTGTGGGGCAGGAAAAACCCGGCACGGAGGGTCACCGACCGGCCCCGAGGCACCAAGTGCCACCACCGAGGGCCATGGCAACTGAGCTTTTCTCGTCACGTCACGCAAAAAACCTCGACGGCAAAGGGAGAGGTTACAGGAATAGAAGCCAAAGGTTGTTTCCAAAACAGCACCAAGGGGCTGTGGCAAGATTTGGTAGCGGGGAACTCAACCCCAGGATCCACTCAAGGGCTGGCTGGGAAATTCCCACCGCCTCGACGGAGCACAAGGGAACACCACCACTGTTTTCTGAAGAAGAAATAAAAAACCCCTCAAGATTGACCAAAAAAAAAAAAAAAAAAAAAAGAGCTATCTTGCTTCAGTATGGCTCCACCTTTTCTTCCAGCCTACGTAGGCGTAGTTTTATTTACAAACTGTTGTTTAGGGGGGGGAAGAAAAAAGAAAAAAAAGAGGTGAAAAATGATGGAGAGGAGAAGCAGGGGGGTGCAAGGGGCCAGGAGCAGGCGTTCCCGACCCGCAGAGCAGACCCCACTCCATCTGACATCCAGAGCAACCCTCTGGGCCGGGGCGGTGAATTTTGCCGCAGCCCGGGAGCATCGGGAAGGGCCAGGGCCAGGTGGTTGTGTGGCTCTGGGCCCACTGAGCTGCCAACCCCGCACAGCGTGGACAAGCTCCGTTGAGCCCCGCTGCATCCTCGCACCCGGGTCAGGAGCCGACCCCGGCCCGCTGCGGCTTTACCAGTGATTTTTTTGTTGGGGAGGGGGGAATCCCTGTGTAGCAGAATACGCGTTTCACAAAAGGAGGGGACAAACGTGCGAGCGGTTTGATGCGCTAAATCCACGTTAGGGGATGGAGCGACGGGGAAGAAAAACCTGCAATGGAATGGGGGATGAGGTAATTAGAACACTATTTTTATACAATATTGAAAAAATACAAATTTTTATTGTGATTTTTTTTCTTTTTTTTTTCTTTTTTTGTTTTTTATCTTTTAAACTGATATCACCACCCAGCACTTACTCTACTCCTAAGTAGCACCTACAGTAAAGGTTATAGCACAAGCAAACTGCTAGGTCAGCAGGTAAGCAAGTTAAACAGTGCCAGCAAAACGTGGCCCCTCCCTCCCCAAAGTAATGAGAAAAACAGCGTGCTAGATAAGAGTTAAGTACACCATTACATGTTAAATAGTTAATATTACCCTTCCGACAAGCCACAAATGCTAGATAGAGAACTTCAGCACAGTCACTAGCCACAGCCCTAACATTACTGCTTTAAAATAAAAAGGGAAAAAGGAGAGGAAAAACCTTTGCTTCATGCCCGTAATTAACATAAAGGAAATTCTTTGTATATTTTTTATTAAGGAAAATCATGCTAAAGCAAAATTGTACTTTACGAGTTGTTGCTTTTTTTTCCCCAAAACAAAAAATAAATTGATTGTGCTTTATGAATTAGAAATAGGATTGTAACCTTCCAACCCCAATGAGTCAAAACTTGGTGGCATTTCTAAAGGAAAAAAAAAAAAACCACCCCCCCAAAAAACCCAATTCTGGGAAAATGACAAATATACCAGTCTGACATTCAAAACTCTGCTCGAGAGTTGCTCAGGGTGGGTTGAGTTTTCCATGCACTGTCCTGTAGGTTGCACCACAAATTAAAACACCTTGTCCAAACCCCTCCAAAAACCCAAAAGAATACAGCAGGTAACATTCAGCTTTTAAAAATCCATCTTAGTTTGAATCTCCAACGCAGAGTTATCCAAATTCAAGTACACCGGCATCCCAGGTAGACATTTACTATATTAGATTTTGTAGCATTAAAACAAACAAAAACGTCAGCTCGCTGAAAGACACCAGGAGAAACCAAACATTTCAATTCAGAAGCATCCTGGAAAAAAAAACCCCAAAACCAAACCAAAACAGAGCAGATGCACTTGCTTCCTCAATTGGCGCTTTTAGGCTTTTTTATTCATCTCAATTTTTTCTAGATCATATTCTTTCTTAACTTTTAAGAAATTTTAATCCTGTTGCACACACACAAGCAGATGGCTACCAAGCTGGTGCAGAAGGGGGAGGAAAAAAGGAAAATAAAATCAGTGCCGATGGATTCGTGGACTACAGCCAGTGGGCCAATCTTCGTGGATCTGAAGCTCTCAGCAAGGCTAATCCATCTGGTCAGAGGACCCTCTTAGGAGATGGAGAGTGTTTGCGAGGTGTTTAACCATACTTCAAGCAAGAGAAAAAAAAAAGCAAACTTGAAGCCGTTAAAGGGCAGCAGTTTCAAAACTATGACAAAGTAAGAGTTTGACTTCACATGTGCTCCAGCTAAATCAAAGCACTGTTCAGAGAGCTTCGGTTGTGGTTTGTGTTTTTTTTTGTTGTGTGGTTTTTTTGTTGTTTTGTTTTTGTTTTTTTTCCTCCCGAAAAGGGAACAGCTCATAATCCAGACCAAGAAAGTGAATAACATCCAGATGAAGGCTTTCAAAAGTCCCAAAAGCAAATAGACCAGTGGTTGTCAGTCCCTACAGTTCAGAAGGGCAGGCAGGAGTCCACATATAAAAACGGACTTAAAATCCAAGTCAAAATTTTTAAGCTTCAATGCTCTGAATAGCTCCATGCATTTGTATTGTTTGTTTTGTGTCGTGTGTTTTTTTGTGTTTTGGTTTTTTTTTTTTTTTTTTAAATGTGACTCCACGTAAAATACGATCAGCAAGGTTGACCTGAAGGAGCACCTTTTATTCCACTGTCTGATCTACATGGTTAGTATATCATCCCCCAGATTTTATACTTTGAGAAAACACTGTTCCACGTTAGCATCCAAGGTGGTGTCTTTGGAAACACTGATAAGAAAGCAAACATCTTTTTGCTAACTCCCTACCTACCAGGGCAGCTGTTTTAGCCGACAGTTCAGTAGCACACAAGTTGACTTGGCCAAATGGAATTTGAATGCATGCATTCGGGCTGCATATTGCTACCAAAATGGAATGTGGGAATATGCTATGCACCTCGGGTTCGAGAAATGACCAAGAAAATCAAGATCTAAAGGGTGATATATATATATATCAATGCTATTATTCATAAAAACCTTGTTTAGTAATAAAAAAAATTGCTTTGTTTAAATATGAATATTATAGTCTGCTTCTCATGGTTAGGAAATTAGAGTCTCTCTGAAAAGCAGGTTGCCTCTTCTACTACAACTCCATATCCTGAGCCTCATCTTCCGAGAAGTCAGACATGGAGCTCTCGGATGAGCTGTCCCCGGTGCCTTCTTCCTGTTCTTTTAGTGCTTCTTCTGTTGCATATTTCTGAATGTATTCTGTATGTGACAGAAAAGAAAAGACATATAAGCAGCATATATTCAACAGTCAGAGGATGAGTGAACTACGACTATCAGCTGGTTGGGTCACATCACGTTTGAAAAGTCATATAGGTTACCAGATTTCTCAGACCAAAGGCAGCATTGTCAAACAACATGTGAAAACAGCTGATGGAGACCTTAGAGACGTGCAAGACCCTTGAAAACAAGTACAATCCCAAGGCTCCTATGCCAGCGTCACGCACACTCATGGCCGGAAATAATCCAAGTCCTCCCTGGTACGGGGTGTCTCACTTGACAGGACAAAATTCAATTTACTGCCAAAATAGGAGCTACCACGGTGACCTAGAGAACAAGCCTAAAAGCCATCAAGGTGTCACAACATAATCTGACTTTAAGAAATGAAGATCTGAGAGTTTAGACTGATATGGCAGAACAACCATCACTGAAGCCAAGCTGAGAGCCAGACTAAACTTCCACACTAAACTCTGCATAAGCAGAGTGTAAAGAAGGATGGACAAAGAAAGCAGAGCAGAAGACTACTGCAGGAATAGCTGCACCTTTTTTTTTCTTTCAAATAAAAAGCAAAAGCTCCCTCTACCATCCCTAAAATAAACACGGGTCTGCCCCAGGCTCTGTTTTCAAAGCACAACTCTTGCAACCTGCTTCACATCAGACAGCAGCTATAGGATTAGCTGACAAGGACCCGCAGGGAACTCTCGGCGGGGAGGACGGCCACCACACTGCAGGTCACTGATGGAACCGTGTCTCACAGTGGGGTCCCAACCACGCTGGCTCTAGGCACCCAGATCAACACCTTGAACTTCAGCCAGGAGCAAGCAGGAAGCCGTACAGCAAGCAGGAAAACTGGTTTACTGGGATTCCTGCAGGCAGGTAACATAACTGCTGCCAAGTGTAGCTTGTGCGGCTTCCATGGTCACCTCCCTGCGGAGGGACAGAGTAAAAAGGCAACGTGAAGTGGATCGGATCAGTCAGACCGAGTCTGGCAAGCCCTTTCCTTCCTTTGTGGCTGCAGGAGGCTCCCCGCAGTGTCCGCTCCGAGATCTGAGGGCGGGCTGGTGTTCCCAGTGGGCAGGCTACCTTCAGCAGAGAAAGCCGATTCTCTTCCACACATGCAGGTGTGCAGAATGGAGAAAGGGTGAAAACTTGGCACAAAAAACTGGGTTAAAGGAGGGGTGCTCAGCCTCAACTTCCAGTCTTCCTCTTATTTACCTCCTCTTTTCCACCTCACACTGAGAAAGCGGCTTCAGAGTATGACAAAGTGATGTAACCTCAGTATCCCGACAGCACGTCCTCCACACGGCAGGTCACGCGCTTGGGGAAGGAGAGAGGTGGTGTGCTCACGCTGCTGTGGGGGAATTTCAGTTGTGAACTCGTCACCTTTCCAGATACAAAGGTACTAAAATACGACAAAGCCTCCTCCAAACAGCAGTATTAAAAAAACTGAAGAAAGAGGGAATACCAGCATCCCTTTGTGCTCAAAGATGAGCCCCTGCATGGAAATGTGAATGTCACGTCCCAGTCCCCCAGCAGCTCTCCTAACTATATGTTTTTTAATTCCTCCCAGGGAACACGGTTCACAAGGAGAATCTCTCCTCCAGGAGCACAGATCACTGCTTTTTGTTCCGTACCGTATCGCCAGGGGGATGCACTGACAAAGCTGCGGGAAGATGCACCTAATGCCAGATAAGCAAGTGCTACAACACAGGTTTTAAAGACTGCGCTTTGCAGAGCCTGGCTGCTCTTAAAGCCATTCCTCCTTCCCTCTGCAATTCCATCCTTCAGCCTACAGGAAGGGAAAGCAGAGGTCTGTATCATTGTGGTTTTTTCCACATTTCTGGAGCTGACATAAGGACACGGAGCCCAAAGACATTACTCTGGCTTCAGGAGTATAGTATGGACAGAGCAACCCAAAGCCAACACTTGATGGAGGAGTTCCCAGGATGGAGCAGCTGGTGGCCTTGGCAGACCTCCTCCACCCTGGAAAAGCTGTGAGAGCCGGCTGGAAGGTGCTTCCAAGCCCAGTGAGCTTCAGCTTCTAATGACGCAAGCAGCTCCAGTCTGACTGTTTAATAGACATTATTAACCTGCTCACTCGGACCACAGAAGCAGCTGTTCAAATCTGTTTCACAAGAACTTGTTAAGAACTGATAAAGGATTGAAGGCAGCTATGTAAACACCAGGAAGCACGGAGTGCTCAAGGTCTCGGATTGCCCTCAGGCTGCTGGAGCCCACGTAGTATCAACAGAAAAGCACCCTTGTGCTCCATCCTCAGGTCCTGGCCACTGAGAACCACCTTCTTGGAAGGTGCTTGCCCATGCCACCATGGAGCCTAGGCCCTGCCTGACCTTGTACCGGAGAGCAGGAATTGCAGAATCTGGGGCAGGGCCCATCTGCCGTAAGAGATGGGCACTGCAAACCGAGAAGAATTGGTGCAACAGATCTAGAGGGTTTAAAGATGAGAGGTGTAACTGAAGGAAGGACCCAAAAAAGTAGTGTGTCTTCAGAGAATTTACACGGGAAGGTGGATTGGCAGTAGATGACAAGCAGAGCTAAGGAGACAGGACTCACATGACCTATCCTTGTAGCGGCTCCTCCCTTCCCAAAGCTTTCCAAGAATTAATCTCCCTCGGGAAAAGGGGTGTTTACCCAGAGAAGCTGTTATTCCTTGCACAGTCCAGCAAAAGGAACCCAAGTTGCCTTGGGTTCAAGACTTTGGTTGCCCTTGGATGGCAAAGGCAACCCCTTACTGGGAACCGTAGAAATACATTCTCCCTACGCTTACCCCAAACCCACCTAAACAAATACTGTAGCTGCCTTGGGAGTCCTCAAACACAGCAGCCACAAGCCAGTGACCATGGCAGGACAGGAGGCCAGCAGCGCTTCTTCACTGACTGCTTCAAGTCCTCTCTGGGCCACTGGAGATTCGGACACAGAAGCCGCTGTTTCTTACTGTTGGAAAAGGCCTGCTTGAGCCTAAGCTAAAACACAACTTGAAGCACTTCAAACTTAAAACGCTATCATCCTGCCAGAAAAGCCACCAAGCTCCTGGGTTGGGTTTTTCTGAAGGTTTAATCTGGGAAAGGACAAAATTCCAGGGAGCTTCTGTGCTGAATGTTGTACTGAACTTGGATCTTCAGTTCATTACGGGAAGAAAACAGAAACATCTAAATACTGACAGACCATCTTCCGCAGAAGCCCATTTAAGAAGGGAAAGCTTTCATTCACCCATTCCTACCAGGGAAACGTTGCTTTCATTTATCTGTTTTTAAACCCTGGAGCAATAAGAACAAGCTGTGGTTATGCCTCGTGGCTGGTACATGCCTGTGAGCTGTACTGGTTTTTCAAAAGACTGTGCTGGAACTTCAGAGCTGACACGTAGGATGGGAGAACTGCTCCCAGAGATGTCCTCTGCTCCCAGCAAACACTCAGCCTGCCCCTCAGTCCTCTCCAGCTGCTGTTACCACCACCACCACCACCCTCTCAAAAAAAGTTTTCATATTAGATCTATCAAAGAGAAAGAAAAGCAGCACACACAGGAGTTAAGCACCAATTCCCAACAGCTCAACACAAGCAAGCGTTGAGTCATTTTTGGTTATCTGAAGCCCACCCTTTGGTGCTCTACCAGCGATCAGGCAAGCCATCTCATCAAGGACTGTCCGGGAGATTTTAAAGGAGCACTTGGCTCTGTATCCATGAACTACTTCATCCACCGGAAGGCTCTAATGCTAAGAATCACAGTCTTGAGCTGTATATTGGTAATATTGATGGATATTTACAAGTTTCAAGATAAATCTTTACTTGTTTGGGTCTCATACCAAGAATCACAGGAACTACAGATCTTGGGCCACATCTCTAAGCCTATGCCCACCTCTTCACTACCACCACGTAAACAACTGTTCTACGGGCTCATAACTAAAAAATGAAGAAAAGCAGCAATAAATTATGTATTTGCACTACTGAGTTTCCCAGAGCAGAGAAACTGCTACAATCCACTGCATCAATTTTAACATGTCCAAGGCTATTTTTAAAAATGCTACAATATGAGGAACGACAGTGTTTAGCTCTATCTTATACTTGTCACGCAAGCCTGGGAAGAGACAGCAGAGGCAGGACTCTTGGGTATATGGAACACGAGACATGTTGCAAGCACTTAAAACTCTTTCCAGATCATCTTCACGGCCTGTACCTGGCTGTCAGGATGGAAACGAGGGAGTAGACTATCCCATTTAGCCTCCCTGAGGGATGTCCTCAGATTTTCCTTGAAGCACCTGCTGTTGGCTAGCATCAGTTTATTTGCTTTTTTCCAAGGTTGTATCTTTTTTTCATTCCTGTTTCATTAAAGCACAGAGGACAGCCAAAGCATCCCTTGTGTTGGCCCTGGAGATTTTATCTGACAAACCATTTTGCCTGGAAGCTTGTTCATACGAAAAAACAGGCAATGGACTTCAGGATACTGAACAGGCCAGATCTGTAGGGTAGTTTTTATGATCCTGTCATGCAGCTGTCAGAGGAGTCAAGCAAAGCGGGCTGAATAACTCAGTATTTAAATCACAGCTTTGCTTGGCCTCATTTGTAGTTCCACCCTCAAACAAAAATTACAGCTGATGAAGAGTTATTTTGCATGAGAACAAAGTGACTCAAGGTTTAACCACTCTGGAGTGATGTGGCAGAGTTGATGGAAGGACTCCGCCACCAAATCCCACGTCTTTCTGGGATACCTGTGCTCTCTGAACATGAGTGAGCTTTCACAATGCTCCGTTAGAAAAGCTGCTAGCCCTCCTCACACTGGGAAGATGATTAGATCGTGCCGCTCATGGGAGATTCTCCTTGTTGAACAGGCCCTGCAAACCTTTTTGGCAGGGCTCCCATGGACAAACAAGTCTTACGGTTATTCAGTAACAGAACAACAAAAAAAATAAAAAAATTAGGCAGTCATAGTCTCTTAAAAACTTAGTTGAAGACCAAATCTGGGCCAAGGGTTGTAAATTTCCCACCATTAGATTAAATGCTGATTGTGTTCCCTAGGCCAGGGGAGAAACAAAGTCCACGGCTTTGCCATAGGCTTGTCACATCAGGAAACGGTGCCCTGCTCCTGTCTGCAGGCAGCTGATTCTAGGGAAGGCAGAGCACAAACTTAAAGTGCAATTCTTACTTTTTATCTTATTTCTTATGTTTGCAAGACTAAATCAACTTGTGTCTCACTTACCAGCTTGCTAGGACAGTCCTTCTATTGCCAGGCTTACCCAAAGTATTTGGGAGTCCTTACCGGGAGTCTTCCTTGATCCCAAGGAGGTACTGACTATTTCTCAGCCTTGTCTAACACATCCTTCCAACCTTTCCAGGAGCAGACACACCAGGACCCTCACCGGCTCTGCCAGCGCTCACCTACCCTCACCAGTCACTGTTAATGTTTAGCCTGGGCTCCCCCAGCCGAGTTACACGCCTGTGACCACATCCTGCTCACACTGATCACAGGATAAATCACTCCCCTCCTCTTTGAAGGCACCTTTGACAGGTCAAAGCTCATAACCCTGTTTGGTCCTCTAGATTAAACCTCTCCAATTCTTCCCCTCTCTTTTCTTAAGACACATCTTCAAAACCGTTTGCCCTCGTTACGCCCTGCCAGACTTTACTAATTGTTCTGCAGCATTTTTAAATGGCAGTCCCTGAACTGGGCACAGCACTAGCAAGCCTCGGTTGGACTAGGAAGTAGCCAGGAAGGATTATTTGGCATTTACTGAAAACTCCTGCTCTGTCACAGTACAAAAATGCTCTCTGCAACAGCATCATTGATTCCTTGATTGCTGCTCTCAGATCACTTTCCACAGAACTGCTAACAAGCCACTTTCTATCCAGTAACTGTGCAACTGGATACTCCCGTTTAAGTTTAGCACTTTTCCTTGTCCCTTCTTTGGTCACACACTGAATCGTTTCTCTGACTTCTCAAAATTGTGTTGAATCCTAACTCAGTTTGCTTACAGCTTTCCCTGCTTAGGGTCTGCCAACAACCTAAAAACCCTGTCCCACGTATTGCATACGCCGCAGCAGTCCATCCACTCCGTATTTCAGACTACTCCCATTTAAAATGGATGGGGCCGCTGTCATGGGAAGGAATGGGCACTGACACACAAATGTGCAGCAAAGACAGCCCTTGTTCCCCTCCGGCGGAATCACAGTTAATGCCACTCATCTGCAATATGTTATTTAAGCCCTTACCTTTAATTTTCTGTTTGTACTCTTCTGGTCGATGGAGGTACATAGCTGCAGCGTCGCCATTTAGAGGATCTATAGGGTTAGGATAGGCCAGCAGCTGGGGCAGGAACGATTCAAATATATTGGTGAGATCTGCAAGTGAAAGACACAGTTGTTTATGTACACAGACCCAGAGCCAGTCCAATTAATCATCTTGCAGGCACCTGCACTGAAACAGCAGCACAACGCTTCAAGGGCAAACGTACTGAAAATCTGAGCACAGGTTAAAATAAAGCAAGCGGCATCAGGGAAAGCACGTACACGGCTGGCAAGAGAGCTGCTGCTGCAGGAGGTATGCTGCAGCTCCTCGGATAACTGCACGAGCTACTTAGCATCCCAACAATGTAGATACAGGTATCTGTGGTTAAACAAAGAAGTGGAAGGACACAATTGTCTTGTTTCCCATTGAGGCTCAGCCCTGGCTTAAAAAAAAAGGAAAAAAGAAAAACAAACAGCGCTGTGCTTCATCCCTCACTGAATTCTTCTCTTCTGCCTCCTTCTATTACAGTCTTCAAATGTCTGACATCAATTTAGTCGTGGAGCATATCTCGAGCACAAAGCATCTTCCAGAGCGCTTTAGATGATTGTGTTAATAGAAAGAGCAACCAACAAGTCCCTCCTCCAACTCAAAACAATTCGCAGAATGTGAAGAGCTCACATTAACACCTTGGTGCCAGTTGGCATCCGTCACTAAATAATCCACAACAGGAAACATACTTCTGGTGCCGATGAGTAATTGTGGATACACGAAACCCTCTTCCCACATCCCTAAGACGACAAGCACCACACTTCAGCAGTGGGGGTGTTCAGAAACAAGCCCTGTGTCATCATTCCTCCTCGGGGCCTTCAGAAGGACCACGCACACCTACACAGAGCAGAGATTAAAGCCCCAGTGCACGGCTGTGTGCCAGGTTTCACTTTAGCCTCTGGAAAGCTGTCGATAGAGGTAGACCAGCATTCATTGTGTGGGGTTTTCTGTTGGGTTTTGTTTGTGAATATTCTACACATCTTTTATCAGGATCCCCCTTTCCTCCCTAATTAAAGGGAGGGCCTCTATCCTGGTGGCAGAGAAATCTTGCCTGTGAATGAGCATCACCAGTCCCCTGCAGCATGGCTCGAAGTGGAGCTGTCAGAAGGGAAGCCCAACACTGCCCAGGATCCACCACGTGAACACTTTAGCCATCTGAATCTGCCTCTTACAGGAACAACGCTGTGTGATGACTCCTGAGCCCAGACATCACTGAGCCTCACAGAGCTGCTACATTCAAGCAGATCTGATGGTTGGCAGGGACCTCAGAGCCCTTAAATTTCTAAGAGATTCATAAAAAATGGGGGGGCAGGTAGCGGGGAGAGATCTTCAAGTGCTCTCCCTGTGCAAACGGTTACTCCGGCTCTGGGCTGCAGCCATAAAAAAATCAGCTCTAACTCCATCGCCAGTGAAGATACAGCCTCAGCAGAGCTGCGCAGTAGGTCCAGGCAGATCTTTGCCATTGCTCCATGTTACCACCTCTGCAGATCTACCAACAGGTATGCTTATTTGATCTTACTGAAGTGGATCAAAGGAAACTCGACATTTTGTCAGTCCCGCCCTCCTTCATCAACACGTCCGGGACATACAGACACGGTACTATGACTACTTCAATCGCCCATTCAGCACAAACCCTGCTGAGCAGAAGGAAAGGCCATGGCTTTATATACTTAGGAGTGTAGGGCATCCATCACTCAGTTGCAAAAAGTAATGACATTGATTGCTATGGACAGTGATCAGCTGGTCTCTGTTATACAGAGCCACCACTAAGAAATTACGTGCTTTTACCCTGAAATCTCTTTCTGCTATAGGAAAGCTGTCACCCCTTCCAATACTGGCTGAGGACAGTGATGGAGCACTTTAGGGTGCACATGGTACCTTGACCAAGTTTGCCACAGCTGGTATGTTGAGGAGCCAGGTGCCACCAGCTGCTTCTAGGACGAAGCACAACAGCAACTGGAAGAAGCATCCTAATCCAAAAAGGGACCACAAAAACCAGGAAGAATGCTCTATAAGAATATTTTCTGCTGTGGTAGTGGCTTGCCCTTGCTAAACCAGTTAAACCTCCTAGGGATTGGGTTCAGACACTGTCAGCAAGAAGTTGACTTTAGTCTGTGAAATCACCTGCTCTTGGGACAAGTCTCTCCACAGAGCAGGCTTAGATCAAGTGCCTCTTTGTGCCCATTAGACAACTAAATTCTCATGTAGGCTAAGCAAGCAGAGCCCTGGAAGGCCACCATGGCTCACAGGACACACTGCAGGGATTTAATTTTATTTTTTTTTCCTAGAAGAGACCTCATTAATTTCCCTCTTCTTTCAAATCCCCAAAAGCAGTATTGGTTTAGCAGGAACTAGTTGAACATCTGCAGGAAGCCTAACCATAGCACTAAGGACTTGACACTGCATTAGGGAAGGCGAGGGAATCTAACCACAAGGTCCTCATTAATTTATTGGTGGTTATTCCGGGTCTCTTCCACCTTAGCTGCTCCTTGAGTTATCCAACCCATATCCTCTGTCAGCGCGGGAGCGTTCTGGTTTAAAGGGGTGATGCTCCAAACAACAGAGCTGTGCTGAGGGGCACCGGGGAATATTATTTTCCCCTTTACATTTCATGTTCAGAAACGGGCCACCTCATTTCACATAAGGAGGCAAAGCCCTGGCAGTGAAGAGGTGATGTAGGCACTTGTGTTGATGACCTCCAAGTGAAGGGGCAGAGTGAATGCCACCACCTCAGTGTCCTCCCTGCAGCAAGGCAAGGGAAGCTTGCAGTAAGATGACTGTCAAGCGATGCACTTTCTAAGGTCAAGTTTCACCAGTTACTGCGGAAGGTGCTCTGTACCTTCAAGTTCTGTACCTATCACTGATATCGCAAGGGAAAATGCAGAAGACTTTTGCAAGTTTGCTGATATTAACACATCACAAGCATAGTAAGTACCAAGCTGTTTTTTTTCTACCCTTACGAGCAACAACGATGACAAAAATACAGCAGTACTCATTAGGAAACCTCTCACAGAAAGCCTTCCTATGAAATTGTTTGGAAATAGTGTAGAAACCCCACTGTGGCCGTCTGTAAGAGCATACTGCAGAACAGGGAGGCTACCCATGCATGGCTTCCAAAGCAGAACCCAGACTGCCAGAGCACAAAACCAGCACCACAGTTACACTGGAGTGATTTTCTTTTGTCCAGCCATCCCTGCAATCTGCAGGATGCATTTAAGGCTGTGGAACAGCAGCAGACGCTGCACTGAGCTGGATTCTGCTGCAGAATGAACCATGCAGGTTCATCCCCAGCAGAGGGCTTGGTTTGCTAATGTCGCTTTAATTCCTCCACCTTGCATCAGATCCTCCCAGGACACAAGGGCATCCTCTTCCTCCATTAGCAACACCACCTGGGTCACAGCTAAGCTGATCTCTCACAACAAAACCATGTGAAGTGCACACTGTGCATCTACTACATGAGGACTTCAAGCATTCTGATGCGCAGTAAAGTTCAACAAGTTGCTATAGCAATTTCCCACCCAGGATTCGCCAAGTCTGGTATTTCCTTACATATTGTGTTCGTGAGGAAGCTGAAGTAGCTTGTCTCTCTAGCTGCTTCAAAGCTTCAACTTATGTAGGTAAAATCAGTTTTTCATGGAAGAACGTGAAGGATTTGATGCTCACATTCCCCTGAATACTCCTCCACAAAGCATAACTGGAACATCTGAAGAAGTTCACATTTTTAAAATGCAGCCAACCTAGGCTAGATATTCAGTTGTATTCCTTTTAACAATTTCAGCTTTCCCTAAATGCTATTTTAATGGGTCTTCAGCTACCAGCTGATCTTTTCTTGTCTCTAAAAAGCAGAGTTATAGCCAGAAACAACCTAACAGGAAACCCATAACATTCTGCAGCAAGCAGCACAGTCATTAGATGCAATACCATCTCCTAACCTGCAATGAAATGACGCTGCCACGACAAACAGGAATGGTTTCTGGTGCCAGCTTCTGTAGAAGTGGGATCATAGCCTTGTGCACAAAGAATACCAGCTCGAATGCACGTACAAGACATGGATGGGGTAGCTGGAACTAGGTTTCATTTTAGATAGTCACTCTCTTTCAATGCTGAATCATAGCCGGGTGTTGTTGTGCAGTTGCCAGACAATACCAAACAATGGATTGAGTGATCCTTAGTGAGGTTTATGCAATATTTTCACCTCTCTGGCATGAAAACAGGTTACAAAACTATTTTCACATGAAAATCTTATTTTACATGTGATCTTGGCTCAGCGAGGAGTCTAAAACTTCAGTCAAAGAAAAATAAAAACCCCAAACCCACAAGTTGGCCTAAGATCATCTGTCTCCAGCAAGCTGTGTTATGTTAACACGCCAAATGCAGATGTTCACGTGATCAGCTTTCAGGGAAATACCAAACTCACCATAGAGAGCTGTCCAAGTTTGATTGATTACATCTAGACATACAGTTCCTGACCTGAAATATATGGAAAAGATGGAATTAAACACAGTCACACTCGAAAATACTCTGGAGATTTAATACAATCTACCCCCCTCCCTTCCCCTGCCCTGCCTCTGCCACACTGTTTCAGATAAACTATGATTTACTCCTATGTTGTGGTTAATAGAGGGGCAGCCTTTAACTACACGAATCTTCACACTCCACATGAAGGAAAGTAAATTGGAGCCTTTACTGAATTACTTTGTCCGTATGGGCCTCTGCTGGAGAGACTGAAGCACAGGTGGCTCCCCTTAACAAACCTGAACTGAAAAAAAAGTAGCAAAACATCTTATGCTTTGAAGAATTTTAGTATAGACATGAACTTCAGCTAAAGAGGGAGCTAAGGCTTAGCCAACGCTGCTCCTTGTTTCTAGAAAGCCGGCACAATGCCAACGAGGAGGGGGACTGGCAACCTTGAATTTTCTGTAAATGAAGCATGTTGCAACACAAAAACCACATCTGCAGGAAAGTCCGCAGCATGCAGCTCTCTAGTCTTGCCCACAGCCTGATCCGCTCCTGAAAGTTAACTTGTGACAACATCTACTTCTATCAACCCCCCCGCTCTGGACTCTTAGATTGATGAAAGCATTATTCAACTCATCAGCATATTACTGTGAGGCCAAAATACAGTTACAATTAGACAAACTCTTCAGAAAAACCACACACTAGGGATTTACTTACGCTTCGTCAATGTTGGGATGGAAAATTTTATTCATGAATCCTGCAAAGAGACACACTGGTAAATAGCAGAAAACAGCCCAAGTTTCGGGGTTTTTTGGTGTTTTTTTGGGTTTTTTTGGGTTTTTTTTTGTTGTCGTCATTTTGTTTTGTTTACACAAGAGAAGTCTGGAATTTACTGAACAAGGACTCATCTGACCAGTTTCAAAGAAAACTCAGCCTTAGCTATATATAGCTATATAACCTTTAAAATAGACAGGCAACATTCCGACCCTAGGGTCCTTGTCCATTCCCTCAAAATTCAGCAAAACCCTCTGCTTCTGCTTACAGTGCAACCATACTGCAAAGGTTTTGTGGTTCAGTATTATCTTGAAAAGAACTGCCCATCAGCACAACTGAGCACCCACATCTGACGAAGAGCTTTTAAAAGGTGCAAGGATCTTTCGAATAAGCACTAAACACAAAACTTAAGCTCAACATTTGCTTTAAGATTTTTTTTTTTTTTTAATGTCTCCCGACAAAGATTTTCTATAAACTTGAAGTCGCAACATTAGTCTACATTTGTATGCCATTCAGGGGCAGAGACTGGTGCAGAGAGCCAACACTTCAAGTTTTGCATCAATACAGCAATTAATTCATCAGTAGGTACCTCTGGTCTGCTAGAAAAGAAAACAGCTCAGATGCAAGGTCTAGAATGAGAAAGCTCATCTTGGCTTTGTCCACATTTCAGACTTCTAGATTTGATAGTACTTTCTTTCTTTGTTCTGACTTGCAAATTAAGTTCTTAAAAAAAATCCTGTGGTTTCAAGACTTACAACATCATGGTAGGAGATGCCTCACACTTTAAAAACTGTATCTGATAGAGGTAAGCTGTGTTTTCCAGCTGCCTACTTTAACCTCAAGTTCAAGACAGACGGCACCTCAAAAATACTGCCCTCTTCTCCCACAAATAGAGTTTACAAAACAAAGGTATTAAAGGAATTATAACACACCATACTTGGCACCATAGCCCATGCAGAAGTAAAGTACATCCACCCCAAATGCAGAGATAAGCGTTTATGACGACAGCTGTGAGTGGATGCAGAATCCAGCTTCCAAACTCTTCCCTCTCCTTTCAGTAGGAGGAACTCAAATACAGAACACGTCCCCAGTGCAGGGATACAAAACTGGGTTTTCAAATTATTTCACTGCCAAATGGATTGAGTATTCCTATAGGTTTCTGCTGGCTTGGCTGAATCGTTTGGGTTCTACCGAGAAGGGTTACTCCAACCCTTGTTTCTGTACCAGGTCAAGCTGCTTCCAGATCTTAACGCTGATTTTTTTTCAGAACTTAAAATAAAACCTTCTTTCCTCTGTCGTACTGCCATCCCGCAGCCTGTAAAGCCCTACAAACACCGCCCATGTGGGAATCACGCCTTGCTGCAACAAGCAGAGATCTACTTAAGCTAACAGCAACTACTTCTTCTGACAAAGGTCCACGTTTATAAAAATGCGTAAGAAATTCAGATCTGTGATACCATGTGGGAATCACGCCTTGCTGCAACAAGCAGAGATCTACTTAAGCTAACAGCAACTACTTCTTCTGACAAAGGTCCACGTTTATAAAAATGCTGAAATTCAGGTCTGTGATATTCATTCGATCCATTTAAAAAGCTCCTTCCAGGACTCAAAACACACAAAGTTTTCTCTCCATAGCAGCCCACAAAGCGAAGCAGCACATCATTGTTTACCATTCAGCAAACTCCCTACCTTCACCACCTTTATCCAGCCACTCCAGGCGAGACACTGCAGTAGCGTGGATGTACCGTCTCTACCCAAACAAAGAGCGATCGCGATTTCAGCAACAGCATGGTTCCCATCTGGGATAAGAGCTGACATATGGATTTAACTCCCTTTCTTTCCATGTATTATGACACAAATATAATTTCATGTTTACTTGTACTGCTCAGATTTTGCATAAATACAACGCAAGGCTCAAACGATGCCTGAAGCCAGAACAATCTCTAACAGAAGAACCGAGAGCTGCGTAAATGACTCCGCGCTAACAAGTGTCTTTCAGGAATACCGTGCCATGATTTAGCTTGAAAAACTGAAGCAGACTTAAAAAGGGAAGCCGTAGTTCCATCAAATATTTACGTTATGGCGGCTCTCACAGGTTTAAATCAGGTCATGGATCCATTATGCCGGCACAGGAGAGCTGCAGCGAGCACCGATCCTGATTCTAAATCCTGTCTCTCTCTTGGGGGGGAAGTTAAGTTTCTGATAAAGCAGAAGAGAAGAGAAGATGGGGAAAGACACCAGGTAACAAGAATAGGACAGTAATGTGTAGGCCTGCTGAATTAAACACTCTTTGTTCTGGTATCTGGGACACAGACCAGCTCTCTTTAAGCCAGCTAGACACAGGCATCCCTCTGCCTTCCCTCCTTTTGTATTTCTGATCATCTCACCTATTTCCTAGGACCTTCTACCACAGCCACCTGCAGGTGGTTGAACAATGCTGTGCTGCAAACCCACCTGTAAGGTTTTGGTCAACTCTTCATTCGCACGCTTCAGCATTTAAGCTGCACTCAACATCCAGGGAGATGAGATTAGGTTGTCCGCTCAAGCAGCTCCTGTCCTAGAGATGTGTCATTCTCTGTCATCTTTGCATTCACCCAGGCAAGGAATAGTCTCAAGCTTTGCAAATGAAACAGTTGTTCTTCAAGAAAGGATTCAAACATCCTCTCCCTGCACTCCTCATTTCCTAGGCTGTTGCCACATCTTCTTGCAACTCTTCAAGGTCCCCGAAGTCTGATTCTCCGACAGACAAAAACTGCTCAGGCCAAGAGCAGCTCTGTTCATACTCTTCCTTTTCCCGACCCAGAAATAAGCTCAAACTATTATCTCCTCCTTTATTTGAAATGTAAAGTCACCTGCAGTGACAAAGCACTATCACTGCTCCAATACTGGCTTGCTCTGTATTCATTTTTACAAATACAAAAGACAAAGCAAGCATAAACATCCATGTAAAAATGAAATTCCCATTTAAAGAGGAAGCCAGGAGTAAAAAAAGCCCTCCCAAGCCAGCGTAAACATTGGTGCAGGTTTACTGCCACAGTCCTGAACACAGCACACCCCAATTAATGTATTGCGCGGAACTCCAGGTGAGCACTCCATGAAGAGTGCCAAGGGATAGGATCTTGATTTGGGGTTTTCATCGTGGCCAGGAGCAAGAAGCCGAAGTCACAGCCTGAGCATTCACGATTCTGTGTGCTGAACTGGGTGTAAACACTTAACATTTTAAAACAATATTCACAGCGAACCCTGGAAAACACAACGCTTAGGAGGAATTTGGGCAGAGTGGCTGCAGTCCACCCTTTCCATACAGAGATGTCAAGATCCAGGGTTGCCTTTGAAGGTAAAGCAGAACTGCAATAAAATCTGTACAAACAAAAAGCCTTTGGGTGATAACAGAAAAAACGCCTGTACACCCACAAAAGAGTTACACAACAGAAAGGGCCACATCTGTTCCAATACTGGAAGATGTAGAGACCAATATGCAGATGCTGACCTTCAAAAATGCTGGTATTTCAGCAATAGCCCTGGAGTAATCACTCCTCAGGTTGACAAAAATCTTTGAAGAGAAATGCATTTTTAAATTAAAAATCAGCCAACTGAAAGGCTGTCAATCTTCCTTGGTACTGCAAACACAGGAACATTCATAAAGCTCCAACAGCTGGACATATTCCAGTATGAAATGAAGTTCTCTCACCACGCTCATGCTCCAGCCGTGGATGGGTCTGAAGATCCTGGGCACTGACTCGCAGTTGGGTCAAAGCGGTCACTCCGAGGATCAGGCAGTGTGGCTGGGCGATAGCTGGACATGCTCTCCAGGTGAGCAAAACCGTAGCGGAGAACGAGGGAGGAATTTCAGACTTACGCTGATGTCAACATCACTCTTGAACAGCTCCAGACTAAAGCTCCCAAGAAATGGCTAGAAGGCACTGCCAGAACCAACGTGCTGTCATGAGCTGCTTTACCAGCAAGTTCTCCATCCAGAGGCAGAGCCCAAATACCTGGATAACTTGGGGGACGCTGAGGACTCCCAAAGCACCTCTCGTTGTCCTGTGGAGCCATTAAGCAGAAAGCTCCTGCAAGAGGTTGCTCCACATCGATCGCTCCCCTATCACTACGCCTATAGCGCCGGACTGTGATTTAGAAAGGGTCCCCTACCTTGGTACAGCACTCATCTACTCTTCAGGCAGAATGGGTGCGAAACTTGGGAGGTAAGAGCAATCAGAAACCAGGGCTGGAGACTGCCTCCTCACTCTGCCCACAGCTCCAGCTGCACACTGCTGGCCGGCAACAGCAGAAAGCTTTCTGTACCCCTTGGTGCTTCACTTCCAAGTCACAAACCAGCTGCAATCCAACAAGTGGCACTCCAAAAGGTGACCCGTTGCTTATCTGAGCTCAAAGTACGGCCAGCTTAGCTGGTAGGTTAGGTGAAAGGTCCCCAAAAGAGACTTTTTCTCCTGCAGCACAGCTCTTCAAAGCGACACTAGTGCTGCTAACCCCACGGAACCATGCAGGAAGGAGGAAAAGCGGCGCACCAGCAAACGCAGCACATCCCAGGCTCCCGGCTTCTTGTCTTCTTGCTCAGCAGGGAGTCAGCTGCATGGCTGACCCACACCAGCAATAAATGCAAGAGGACTTCCCACGGGCTCTGGGGAACATGCCAGAGTGGAGCTGGTTTAGATCCACTTACCCATCCCAAACTTGCCGCTGCTTGTCCGCGTGTCGGCTCTCTTTGTTCATAAACTAAGGCCAGCTGGACACTTCTCTTCCTGAACAACTGTGACAGCAGATTCATATCTGTGTACCACCATGGTGTCACACAAACAGTCGACAGGATGAGCGTATGTAACCGCTCCTGACTTTTCAGTGCAGCAAGACTGACAAGCCTCCAAGTTTTATTTTTAATGAGAGATTAAGGCCAAGTCAGGAAACTGTTCAGACTGCCTGGCTGGTGAGGTGGGAAGGTGGTTACCGTCTCTCTGAAGCAGG